AGTTTCCCAGGTTCACCTTTGGAGAAAAAGCGTACCAGTACAGGGTCCTCCCCTTTGGCCTCGCTCTAGCGCCAAGGACGTTCTCAAAGTGTATGGATGCTGCTCTGGCCCCGCTGCGGCTCCAGGGCATCCATATACCTCAACTACCTGGACAATTTGCTCCTTTTAGCCCACTGCAGAGAGTTGGTGACTCACCTCAGGGACATGGTCCTCCGTCATATTCAGTCTCTCGGTTTGAGGTTGAATACGGAGAAGAGCGTTCTTACTCCAGCTCGGAGCACGTTTTTCTTGGGGGTACGCATGGACGTTCTTATGCTGGCCCGTTTGGCTCCTGCATGGATTTCCAGTCTGGTGACATGTCTGTCCCGCTTTGCGCTAGGCCATCATGTTTCCGTGAGCAGGCCGCGGCCTCCCCTGTGCTACCTCTGGGGCTACTCCACATGAGATCTTTTCTGTGGTGGATGAAGCTCTCAGGGGCTCGGCCCACGGGGCCAGCCCTTCGCCTATTGAAAGTGTTGCGCAGTTGCTTTCGCGCCCTGTCAATCTGGCGGGACCCCCTCTTCCTTCAGAAAGGAGTCGGTATGGGTGCGTTATTCCGTCGCCAGATGGTTACGACGGATCCCTCTCTGACCGGCTGGGGAGCGGTTTTCAAGGGCAGGCCAGCGTGTGGTGTTTGGACTGGCGAGACCCTCTCGTGGCACATAAACAGCTTGGAACTGAGGGCTGTCTTCCTGGCTCTTTGCCACTTTCTCCCTTTCCTCGAAGGATACCATGTCATTGTCAGAACGGACAATATGGCAGTAGTGTCCCATGTAAACAGACAGGGGGGTTCACGATCGCGCACCCTAGACAGGCATGTGCGTCACCTTCTCCTGTGGTCCCAGGACAAGTTCCTCTCTCTGAGAGCAGTTCATGTCCCAGGGACTCTGAACCTCACAGCAGATTTCTTGTCGAGGCAGAAGCTCAGGTCTGTGGAATGGATGTTGAACCGCCAGACAGTGGCGCTGATCTGGGAGATGTTCGGGAAAGCGGAAGTGGACCTCTTTGCATCTCAGGAGTCGTCCCAATGCCCGCTTTGGTTCTCCCTGAGCCCTCCAGCTCTGTTGGGGATAGATACATTCGCCCACCCATGGCCGATGCAGAAACTCTATGCCTTCCCGCCCATCAAGCTGATCCAGGCGGTTCGGTCCACAGTGAGGGAGAGCGTAGTCCGCCTCCTTCTGGTAGCCCCATTCTGGCCGTCCCAGCCATGGTTTTCGGAGCTGATCCCTCTGTTGGAATCCTCCCCCTGGGAGATCCCGGTCAGGGCGGACCTGCTTTCCCAGCTTCTGGGCAGGATATGGCATCCTCGCCCCAACATTTGGAAGCTGTACGTTTGGCCTATCAGAGGCTGTTAGCTTTAAGCTTTGATCTCCCAACCGACGTTCAGGAGACCATTGCGAGTGCTAGAGCCCCTTCTACGAGGCGGCTGTATTCCTCAAAGTGGAGGGTGTTCGAGGCATGGTGCTTAGCACATGATAGGAACCCAGTTAGCTGCCCAGTAGGCTCAGTGCTGGAATTCCTGCAGGAAAAGTTTGCTTCCGGAGCGGCTGCTACTACTTTCAGAGTATATGTCGCAGCTATTGCCGCTCATAGAGAATCAGACGAGATTCCCTTGGAGAAACTGAGGTTAGTTTCGGCCTTCATGCGTGGGGTTAGGCGCCTGAAACCGGCTCGCCCCCCTAGTGTTCCCTTGTGGGACCCGTCAGTCGTCCTGGAGGGTTTGACAGAGGCTCCCTTCGAGCCCTTGGAGTCAGCCCCTGAGCAGATTCTGACTCTTAAGGTTGCTCTTTTGTTGGCTTTATCTTCACTAAAGCGGATGGGAAACTTTGAAGTTGTATGTAGATCGCTCAGGCGGTTTCAGGAAATAAAACCAGCTCTTGGTATGTTTTGGTGCTGGCCGCCGCGGGGTTGCAGCATCAAAGCAGAGGATTTCCCACTGCAACATGGCATCATGACTTTGCGTAAACATACACGCCACTTGACTTGAAAGTGGCGTGTATGTTTACGCAAAGTCATGATTATTTATACGCATTTTGAGCTATCTGCGTGTATGTCCACGCCGAAATGAACCGTCATCTTTTGCGTGTATGTCTACGCCGTTAAATGTCCGAGTAATTCCGCGTGTATGTACACGCCGTTAAATGTCAGAGCGAAACGAAGCAAATTGTAGATCTACATCTGGGGAGCGATATTCTTTTTCCTAGGATGGTAGGGGAAGACTCATAAATGGTATTAACCCCAGTGACGGGTAGGTTTAGGGACGGGGTTGGGGTAGGTCATATATTTATATATACAGTAATGTAACACTAAGTCAACGGCGTTGATAAACACGCTGAAAAGCGATTATGCATGTTGATAGCACGCCAAAAATGGAAATACGAATTGGCGTGTCATACAGCCATTTCATGAGATCAGTCTGCCCACTGGGTAACGGATGCTATTTCGCTGGCTTACGAGGTGCGTGGTTTGCCTTCACCTCTTAGCCTCAGAGAACATTGCACCAGAAGTGTGGCTTCCTGTCAAGCTCTCTTTAGAGGGGCCCTCTTGGAAGACATTTGTGTGGCGGCAGATTGGTCCTCTCCACACACCTTTGTGAGGTTCTATAATTTAGATCTTGACATGACTCCAGGTTCCCAGGTTCTATCTGCTTGAACCGATCATGGTTATTATTATTTGGTCTGGTACCAGTTATGGCAGCGCTTAGCTTGGCGAGTTTGGTATATTGTTCCCACTGCGCTTTCCGCAGCGTTGAGTGAACCTATGAAAGAGAACATCTCTGGTTACTTACGTAACCTATGTTCTCTGAATAGGGAACGAGACGCTGCGTGCGCTGCCAAGCTCCTCACGCTGCCGACAGTTTTTCTTTTCGCCAGAGAAATCGCCAGAGGAGATGATGGCGCGCGCACGTTCATCATGCTACAACGTAAGAGCGTCGGGGCAGAGCCAGCTTTGCGCGAGCACCATTAGCCAATGAATTGGCGTGATTCTATAGGGCTTTAGGCAATCGGCACATCCAGAGGATATCCCACTGCGGTTTCCGCAGCGTCTCGTTCCCTATTCAGAGAACATAGGTTACGTAAGTAACCAGAGACGTTTCAAAGTACAGAGAGAGCGATTAGAGAGCGGCTTACAGTACTTACATGTCATACATCGATCAGTCTGTGCAGCACCGCTTCAAGTCGAACACATCTTTTACTGGTTTCAATAGTGGATGAATGTATTCTTGAATGATCTTTTAAGAATTGAGAAGAGGCCCTAGAGCAAAACAATGTCAATTAGCAAATTAACAGTCTGACAAACACGTTTAACTGAGCTGCTGAAAATCATCTTTATCTCGTTCGATAGTCCCTGTTTTCACCTCATTCATTATGCTGATGTCTGAGATCTTCTGTAAATTGGCACATCAAGCACGTCATCAGTGTCAGACAAACTACAGGATCATCACTTTGTGTGTTAATCACCTATCAATGTGTTTTTAATGTTTTACTCCTCAGCTTAAAGTACATGACTAAAAATACTATTAAAGGCTACAGAAACCAAACCTGCAAACTCTCTTTCTGACACTGAAATCGACAATTCACGTGATTAGTTTAGATCTGAGGAGTTTTTTTTTGTTAAATGTATATCTGAAGAGAAATTATCCTTATTATATTCTGGGTTATGTAAAAGTTAGCAATCTATAGCTGTTTTATACACTACTAATATGTAAATCAAAATGCTCTATATTTGAGCTAAATATATTTGAAGCACCATATGTGTTTACTGTTAAAGTAATCCAGTATCAATTCAGTAACTTATCTTTGATTTTTCCAGATCTGGTCCTGTGGGCGTCAGTATCACACAGTGATCACAGTTCACACCTGCAGTGAAGCCCCTCCCACAACAATTCACCAATAAATACTGGGAATAATATTCACATCATCCTACAATAGAAGGACAAACTCCAGGAGTAGCAGCTAAAATCTGTGTGACTGTTAAAGATGGAGTTTATTTAAGAGGAGATTGAATACATGACTGATCCAGAACCATCCTGAATAAAACATGAAGATACTGAGGAACAAATAGGTTGGTGTCCATTTTTGATTCTTCATTGCTTTGTCAGCTGTGAATTAATAAGCAGTATATGAATGAAAAATTATATATAAATGCATATATAATTTTAATCTTTAAACTTTTATATACTTTTAATCATAGTAGGCTATAACAGTTATCAAACTCATTTTGATCATATTAACAAGAGAATGACAGAACTAAACTTTAGCACTTCAAAGGTCTGATACTTGATCTCTGTTGCTTTCTGCTATTAGCCCGTAAGCCCTGAGGGCATTTTAGAGTTGTTTTTTCTGAGTGACATACACAAAACTAAAGACTCATAACTCCAAAACTATAGCAAGCAGAGACAAAAGATAGGCATCGTTTGATAGAACACTTTTATATATATATTTTTTAAATATACATTAATTTACATTTGGACATTATCATGCTGATAAACAGCTGATAAAAGACAAAATATATATCAATATATATTTTTTTATAATTCATATCTTTCTTTGACATGGAATAATTCAGGAAGGAAACAAGGTAGGGTTTTTTTTTTTTTTTTTAAGTCCTATAAAAGTGTGAGCTGCATGTGGATCACATTTTCTGGTGATTGCATAAAGTAAACAAAAGTTAAAATAATAAAAAAAATATTTATTAATAAAATTATTTAATTAATAAATAAAATTATTTTCATCAGCAAATAACTCAGCACTACTTTGAAGTTAATAAAATTGGCTACATTCATTGTAAAGTTCAGACTCTAAGCTTTCAAATGATGCCTATTTAGTTGTTCCATTCAGTGGTTGCTTAGAAATTTGAATATTACTTTTTTTTTTTTATCTCCGGCGGTACACTTCGGATTTAAGGGGTTAAATCAGGGTTTGCTTGAACTGATTCTAATTTTATGTTTGTTTTAGATCGAATGGAAGTGAAAGAGGAAAGACAAGAACTGGAGGAATTTAAGGAGGAACAACACAACTTTAAAATTCAAGAAACAAAAGCCAAAAAGCTGCACACCTGCACTCAGTGTGGAAAGAGTTTCAGTCAAAAAGGAAACCTTAAGAGACACATGAGAATTCACACTGGAGAGAAACCGTATACATGCACTCAGTGTGGAAAGAGTTTCAGCAAAAAAGTAAACCTTAACACACACATGAGAATTCACACTGGAGAGAAACCGTATACATGCACTCAGTGTGGAAAGAGTTTCAGCAAAAAAGGAATCCTTAACACACACATGAGAATTCATACTGGAGAAAAACCGTATACATGCACTCAGTGTGAAAAGAGTTTTTCTCAAGTTTCAGATCTAAAAAAACACCTGACAGTTCATTCAGATGAGAAGCCTTATGTGTGTTCTCTCTGTGGAAAGAGTTTTTCAAGACCGGACAGTTTTAGACTGCACCAGAAAACACATAATGAAGTGAGAGATCATGTGTGTTGTGAGTGTGGGAAGAGCTTTACTAGAGCTGACTATCTGAAACAGCACCAAAAAATTCATTCTGCAGAAAAACCTCACAAGTGCTCATATTGTGACAAGAGTTTCACTAAGTCTGGAACCCTGAAAGTACATGAGCGACTTCATACTGGAGAGAAGCCGTACCAGTGCACTCAGTGTGGGAAGAGTTTTTCTCAAGCATCATCTTTCAGTCATCATCTGCGTATTCATTCCGGAGAAAAACCATTTAACTGTGATCAGTGCGGTAAAGATTTTCATGCTTTATCAGATCTAAAACAACACCTGACAGTTCATTCAGATGAGAAGCCTCATGCGTGTTCTCTCTGTGGAAAGAGTTTTTCACGACTGGACAGTTTTAAACAACACCAGAAAACACATAATGAAGTGAAAGATCATGTGTGTTGTGACTGTGGGAAGAGCTTTACTAGAGCTGGCCAACTTAAACAGCACCAAAAAATTCATACTGGAGAAAAGCCTTACAAGTGCTCATATTGTGACAAGAGTTTCACTCGATTGGAAACACTGAAAGTACATGAGCGACTTCATACTGGAGAGAAGCCGTACTACTGTACTGAGTGTGAGAAGAGTTTTAGACATTTATATAGTTTTCTCAGTCACATGAAGAAATATCATAAGTCAAAGGTTTGAAATTAACACCCGCAACTCGCCAAATGCGGGTAAAAATAACCCGTGGCCGGTAACGCTGTCAAATCACTAGCCAATAAGGCGGGTTATTATGTTTACTCACTTTGCTGGGGAAGTTGTGTAAGCCAAATCTGCACAGATTTAGAGCAAATACTCAACTCATGAGTCATCATGATATATTAAATACAGCGTATTGCGCAAAATCTGCTAATATTTGGCTTACTTTAACACACACACCGCAACAGATAACGGCACGCTTGTTAATTTGTATTGAAGCAATAGTGAAGATTAAAAAGCGTTTGGTTAACAGAAGACACATTGCTATTTTCCAACATCCTACATTTTTTTATGTTCTTTCTCCTGTATTGATCTGTCCACCTGAAACACATTTTTGATGAAAAGGATGGGGATGGGTTGAGTATTATGTTAAAATATTGTTTTGTTTATTTTGTTGTATATTTTTTTTCTTTTTTTCTTACTGTTTGTATATTTCAATTATGTTTCTTTCTTTTTAATAGTTCGAAATAAAGATTTCAATCAATCAAAGTGATGACATGATTTTGTGTGAATAAGAAATTAATGTATAAAATCCAAATTATATATATATATATACTGTATATGCTTAGGCTGGCTCTTTTCTTCTTTCTTTTTTTTGGCTTGTAGAAGTTATGAATGGCCGGTAACTTTTTACATTTAACTTTAAAAAATGAGTAGCCAAATTGGCCGATGAGTGAACAAGTTGATTTCAAACCCTGCATAAGTCGTCACAATGATCAACATTTAGTTTTCATGTATAATACTGTCGAGTAAATGTTGTGAATTGAACAAAATATAGAGTTCTCTTACGAGAGGTTCTCTCATATTGCGTAAACTAGCTTACGCTACGGGAAAGATTCATCTTTTCTGAGAAATTGAAGCCAAAAAATTATCCTATAATTTTGTATCCATTGTCAACACAGTTCAGCTGCAGCAGACCATGAGCGGGCTAGCTAGCAGCTCATTGGTTCGCTCACAGAGAACTGCTAAAGCCTATGAGGAAACGCGAATGAACTCTCGGCCAATGAGAGTCTGACATGCTCTCATTGCGTCAGAGCCCGCCGTAACGGGCGTGGTCAGAGAGTATAAATATTGACGTCCTAGGCTGTAAACTCTGATTTTCATCTCTTCAGCGAGGCTACACGCATCTGCTGATTCTGAGAGAAGCCGCCGTCATCGAAAAGGCAACTCTAGCGAGCATCTGGGAGACTGAGGAAGCTGGCCGTCTTCGCCACCTTCAGCTGTCCTGCGAGCTAGCGCCATCCGACGGATTTGTATCCTTTTTACAAAAAGCTTCCTGTACATTTTGTATCTAAAAAAGCCGAGCGTCTTTTTCAAGATGTCTCGTAAATCTTCCTTCGTAAAGCCCCACCCCAGCGCCCAGCTCAGCACAGTCAGACTTCTCAGCGACGCCAGGGCGTCCGCCCTCGTTCTCGCTCTGACAGCCGCCAGAGACCGCCGCCTCCTCGGGGGCCTCGGCCTAGGATCGCGCTGAAACCTGATCACTCGAAATCTGCCTAGCACAGCTGAGGAAAAGACGGCGCTCTCCCGTCGCGGCCGGACCGCCGTAAAAGTTTCGGCCTCTGTTAGTCCCCGCTCACGCGGCTACTACAGCAGTGTACCCCGCCATTACCAAGCCGGTCCCCTTTCCCACTTGCATGAGCGCAAACGCCGTTTTCACGGCGACCCAGAGAAATCTCCTAAAGAGCATAAAAGCCTCCTGTGTAGAAAATGTGCCCACAACACTGTGTTCACTCATACACAAAAGCACTTCAGTTCCCGTGTCTCACACAGAGTCCACTCTCATAAAGCGGTTCCAACCCGCTCGAGTTTCAGAGTGCATAAGCGCGCCCACGAGCCCGTGTGCGCGTCCCACCTCTGCTCACTCTGTTACAAGGCCCTTAAACTCATCTCTGAGTGTAAGTTCCGCTGTCATAAACACTTTGAGCGCGCTCACGCAGCCCGCTATGTGCAGCGACGGGGACCATGTAGCCATTCACCCCCTAGCGTTACGCTTCAAAGCTTTTCCCAGTGGGTGCTAAACACAATAAGGCTAGGCTATCGCTTACAGTTTCACCGCCGCCCTCCACGTTTTCGAGCGCGGCTAGAAACTATTGTGAACCCAGAAGCAGTGACGCTGCTCCGTTCAGAGATAGTAAAGCTATTGTGCAAAAGGGCTATAGAGAGAGTTCCTCTGTCTATGAGCGAGTCGGGGTTTTACGGCCGTTATTTTCTGGTTCCCAAGAAAGAAGGCGGCCTCAGACCAATCTTAGACCTCAGATTTCTGAACAAAGTTCTCATGAAGAGACCGTTCAAAATGCTCACTATCAGAAAACTCCTCGCGCATGTGCGCCAGGGGGACTGGTTCATTTCACTAGATCTGAAAGATGCTTACTTTCAGATTCAGATAAATCCCCTTCACAGGCCATTCTTACGTTTCGCCTTCGAAGGCCAGGTTTATCAATACACCGTCCTTCCGTTCGGCCTATCCTTAGCACCCCGTACGTTCACGAAGTGCATGGATGCGGCGCTCGCCCCTGCGAATACTGAACTATTTGGACGACTGGCTGATTTTGGCACAATCACAGAGAGAGCTACTGTCTCATCGTACAGTTCTCCTCGACCATCTGAAAGCTTTGGGCCTCTCTGTCAACTGGACAAAGAGCGCACTACAACCCAGTCAGACTATCTCCTTCTTGGGTATAGAGCTAGACTTGGTCACGATGACGGCTCGTCTGTCAACACAGCGCGCGCGCCGTGTTCAGCGTCTCGCCGCATCTTTTCAGATGAACAGACTCACACCTCTGAAAACTTTTCAGAAGGCGTTGGGTTACATCCAACAGCAGTCCGCGGTGCTCCAGCTGGGGTTACTGCGCATGCGCCCGCTTCAGCTCTGGTTGAAGAGCCGTGTGTCTCACCGTGCGTGGACCACGGGCCGCCAGCTGATAAATGTAACGCAGACCTGTATCACAGCTCTGCAGCCATGGACTGTGGCAGAATGGTTTCAGCAGGGCGTTTCCATGGGGACCCTTTCTCGCCGAAAAGTCATTTTGACAGACGCATCCAACACGGGTTGGGGTGCGGTCTGCGAGGGCTCACCGGCCTTCGGCCCCTGGTAAGCTCAAGAGAGCCTCCTCCACATAAACTGTTTGGAGATGTTGGCGGTCGAGAACGCGCTCACACGCTTTCTTCCACGCATTCACGGTCACCACGTGCTGATCCGTGCGGACAATACAGCCGTGGTCTCCTGTCTAAACCGTCAGGGCGGAGTCAGATCCAGGAATCTCTTCCGGCTGACAGAACGCATCTTAGTTTGGTCTCAGTGTCAACTGCTCTCGCTCAGAGCGACGCACGTGCCGGGCCATCTGAACGACGGTCCAGACAGTCTGTCCAGGAACCCCATTCCCCCCGGGGAATGATCCCTGCACACTCTTAGAGTCCAAAAGCTGTGGCGAATATTCGGCAGAGCAGAGGTGGACCTCTTCGCCTCAGAAAAGAACACCCACTGCCCAATATTTTTCTCAAAGAGCGAGGACGCGCTAGCCCAGACCTGGCCCAGCCGCCCGCTTTATACATTCCCTCCGGTTTCTCTGCTACCACAGGTGCTTCAGAGAATCAGGGAAACACGCCACTCGGTGCTCCTCATAGCCCCGCGTTGGGAGGGTCAGACTTGGTTTCCGGAGCTCACTCAGCTGTCACAGACAGCCCCGTGGCCCATTCCAGTCAGAGCAGATCTCCTCTCCCAAGCTTGCTGCACGATCTGGCATCCCCACCCAGAGCGCTGGGCGCTAAATGCTTGGGTGTTCAACAACTACCCGTTGTTTTGCCAGAGGGAGTGTTAAACACGATCATGCAGGCTAGAGCGGCTTCTACTAGAAGGCTCTGTGCGTCTAAATGGTCTGTGTTCTCTAAATGGTGCACCGACAGAAATTTGGACCCACGGTCATGCGAGGTTCCTTCCTTGCTAGTTTTTCTACAAGAGATGTTGGACAAGGGCAGGTCCCCGTCCACTCTCAAGGTGTATGTGGCAGCCGTCGCAGCGTTCGTTGAACCCCGGCGCGGCCAGTCACTGGGCAAAGATGGCTTGGTCATCCGCTTCCTCATGGGAGCTAGAAGGATGAACCCCCCACCACCCCCCTTCGGTGACGATTTGGGACCTTTCCATCGTTCTCGAAGCTATGAAAGCCCCCCCATTCGAACCGCTAAACACCGTGGACCTCAAATAGCTTTCGCTCAAAACCGTTTTTCTGCTCGCGCTCGCGTCAGTAAAACGTGTGGGAGACCTTCACGCGCTGTCCATTAGTGCTTCCTGTCTCGAGTTTGGGCCCAATGACTCCTTAGTCGTTCTCAAACCTAGACATGGTTATGTCCCAAAAGCGATTGGTACCCCGTTCAGGGCACAAGTTATTTCCCTATCGGCTCTGCCTGCATCCGATAGCGAATCTGACTCTAATCTCCTGTTTCCGGTCAGGGCCCTGAGATTATACATTACTCGCACTGCTCCGGTCAGACGATCCGAGCAGCTTTTTGTTTCATTCGGTGGGCGCACCAAAGGGTTGGCCGCCTCGAAACAGACTCTATCCAAATGGATAGTTGATGCCATTGCAGCCGCATACACATCAAAAGACCTGCCATGCCCTCTGGGCATCAGGGCTCATTCCACTAGAGGCATGGCCTCATCGTGGGCATGGTCCAGCGGAATTTCCATTCATGACATTTGTGTGGCAGCGGGATGGGCTTCCCCCTCCACCTTTGTCAGATTTTACAATCTGGAAGTTCCCGCCTTTCAGGCTAAACTACTAGCAGTCTAGTATGTTACAGCTCTTCTGGTTGAGCTGCACTATAGGGAGTTATTCACACAGACCGGTTTCGCTCTGTCCCTCTCTATAATGTGCTTATGTACTACACAATCTCCGGCCCGCTCTGCTGCCCTTTGTCACATGTACATATATTTATTCCCACTCATAAGGGTTCCCTGGGGTCTCCCCTGGGACTCATAGTGGATGCTTAGCACGCACGGCGTTGACCAG